GGGGGGGAATAGCATCTCTCTATTACACAGCCGATTCCTGGCAAAGAAATAGAATAGTTCTGATACGGAATGATTACATCACTTCCCTCTGACAGCAGCAGTACCTTCATTAGTTCTCACTAATACCTAGGGGAGGTAATGGAACTGACTCTGCAAGAGGGGAGGTAATGGAACTGACTCTGCAAGATGGTCTATGGCTCAAACAAATGATGGATCATGCAGAAGATTACAGATTTGCAGCTATGCAACTGTTCTCCTGCAAGTGTTTGCATGTAAAAAACAAAGATACTGTACGTGTGCTGTAAGCAGCTTGCAACTATAAAAGTTTAGCTTTAGGCACCAAGAGGTGAGGGGTGAATGTCAGTCTGGAAGGGTCGATTTTATACAGACAGCAAAATCATTAGGCGGCTGGAAATACACAGTCCACTACCGTGAACATGCAGAGGATGCCATTCTGATCGCCAGTATACAGTAGAGCAGGGGTAGGCAAACTCCAGTCCTCCACCTGTGGTGCAACTACAGATCCCATTAGGCATTGCAAGACTTTGAAAGCCTCTCAGATGCAGATGCATGATGAGATTTGTAATTTAACCGCGGCTGGAGGGTCGGAGTTTGCCTACCCCTGCAATATAGAGTCACACTAACGAGATTCAAATTAGATCAGTGGAGTAGCAAAACAAGAGAAGTAGGTTTATGGGAGAAAGTGTTCTATGCACTGTTAGGCACACCTCCAGTAGAATCAAATAAAGACGAAGGTGTCGGGATGTATCTGACGCAGCAGTTCTGACCCCGCAGGGAATGCCGGGACCCCTTTTAATCATTATCATTTTGTAGTAACGTTTGTATCTTGCTGGAGCCAATGGCTTTCACAGCAGAATGATAGATAAAACATTGACTGGTGGGTTTGTGGTGCACATAGAGATTGTGATCAGTGGGAACGTTTTTACATTTTTAACAAATTTCTAAAACTTGATATTTTCCTTACCTGCAAGGTTTTGGGTACATGTGTCATCCCACATGCACATCCCCTCATCCCTTTGTGTTCAGCCATTGTTTTTGTTTATGTTTGATTTTGACCATAGAGCATAAAATTATTTTTTCCATCTGTTTTATTTTTTCTTTTTTTTTTTCTTTTTGTCTCCATTTGCCTTTTCTGTCCCCCACCCCCTCC